CGTTCTCTCTCTCTCTCTCTCTCTCTCTCTCCCTATCCGCAAGCGGGTCCAATAGAGAGAGAGGGTGGGGGAAAAAAACGGTTCCCCCTCCCAGTGAAAGGATCTTTTTGGAAAAGAAAAAAGAAAAATCTTACTCATGCATACAAAATCCTTGGGAAGGTTATGATATGATACCCAACTTAAAATCTCTCCTCCGAAAATTCCAGTAATTTATGATAATATGTACCCGACCCGCGATACAATAGTGGAGGTATAGTGCTATACAAGTACCGGTAGTGCAGTACGAGCACAGTACTCGAGTACTAGTACAGGCACACGGGGTGCGGTACCTGTACCCGCGTATCTCTCACATCATATGGTGCGCAAGTTTTTTCCTAATAATGCTATGAGTAACCATTGCAGGCGAGGAGTAGTACTAGTGCCGAGTACAGTAGCGTATCCAAAAGAAGAAAAATAAAATAAAATGGGTCCGTGAGTCTGTGCGGTGTGGGTCATCAGGTGCTGTGCAGTACTAGTACTGTGCTTGTACTCGAATGGGGGACTTGTAGGCGCAGATTCCTTGCTATAATAAGTCACATCTTCTTCCGGTAAATTCCTGGCTATGGTGTATGATGATGATGCATGTACGAGTACTTATTTGCTCGCTTGCTGTGATACTACCGTATCCTACGAGTATTGTCCATTGCAGCACAATATTCGAGTACCGGTACCGGTACCTACAATACCGTACTGTACGAGCACCTCTAGAAATTTCCTCCCCCTTCTGGAACGCTGAGAAGAATCGGAATCACTCACGGGAGGGAGAATGACTTGACGAGTATCATACCGTAGAATTTGATACTACTGTATATATGTATATAAACTAACCGTGGGGGGGGGGCAAAAGTAGCTTCTAGAAGTACGGTACTTATATCCTAATATCTCGGGTATGAATATAGTACCGTATATAAATTTATATATACGCCCTCATATTTATTATACGGTACGAACGATTAACACCAGTAATGTAAAGTAAAGTATCGCACCGCACGATGCCGGTATCTCTTCCAACCAGGCGCTGGCTCCCCTTCCCTTCCGGTAACGGTATCTTTATCGCTGTTTTGACATCGGTTATATATATATACAAGTATCGCAGCAGTAGTATCATAAGTGTTTATCATATTATAATCCGGACCCCGATCAAGGGCCGATTCGGTATCCGGTTCTCTGGCAGAGGTATACGGTATAATATAATGCAAGTATATAATATGATACTGGCGAGGAAGTACTCGAGTATGGTCATACAATAGCCTCTGATACCCCCCCCCAGAAATAATAATAATACCGGTAGCCGGTCCTATCCTCACATACATACCATACCGTGCCCGTAAAGTCTCGTGAAACCCACTAACTTATCTCCGGCCGCCCGTCATCCCGCCATAACTGTATGTTTACAAGCATTTTTTACAGGTCGGTATGATAGAATTCCGGATATCATACCGGTTGTTAGCGAGATCCAACACAACCTAGCCGGACCAATCTTTTACGGTACTACTATATCGGGAAAACTCTAATCCTTCTCGGGGTGGGGAAGGGGAGGCTTGCCGGATGTAAGTGAATTTCACGAGATTTTACGGTACGAGTACGAGTACCGGTACTGCTGTGCCATACACTCCAGATACCGGTATCCCGAAATTCTGGCATTGCCCTATGATACACCAATCTACGCCAAGGTTTCCCGGGTACCTTTTCGATACGGGTACGGTAGCGGTAGTTAAGCGCAGTATCATACCGGTACGGTACTCACGCTACCCGGAAAAGAATTAAAACAACGCAGCACAAATACACCGTTTATACATTTTTTTTTAAAAAAAAAATCTACGCGAACCCGAGCCCCCGCCCATGCAAAACATACTCCGTTTTCGGGTCGGGTACCGTTACCATATGAGCACAATACGGTACTGTATCACACTGGTAATACTTCCCATACCGGGACAAGTCCGGACAAAGAGTGAATTTACAAGCATGTACTGTATCTCGAGTACGGTACGTATTGGCACTGATTCCGTAGGACAGTACGGTCGTCATTCGCCTTCACACCCATATACCCCCCCGGCAGTCGAGGCTCCTGGCACCCGAGTACCGGGATCGATGCCCTCCGACTTGGGATATGATACTTTGTGCTACCGTGTGAAGCTATGTGCAGAGTACCCGCAATTGGACGGGGTCTGTGGGACCGGCTGCCGTTGCGTGGCGCTCTGGTATTACTCGGTGAATGCGCTAGGCTTTGGTGGTGTTCGATAGCAGTCGTGTTCGGGTTCAGCTACGGGTAGTCATATCTTGATTGCCTGATCTTCGGATGAATGGATGAATGATTCACGGGGTCTCACTCGGGAGGAGTTGGAGCTGTCGATTCTTTTCGCTTTTCCTTCGTAGGGGTGGGTATGGGTGTGGTTGGTTAGTTATGTTTGGGCTGTGGGGGCATTTGGGGGTTGCTGGGTTTGGTCTGTCGTGGGCCGACAGCCATATTATTGGAGGATTTGTGGGGAATCGGTGGCGTACGAGCAGTACTTGCAGATGGATGGGTTGGGTTGTCCCGGTGATTCGGAGTAGTTTGAAATGATATCGTCAGGTACATAATATTGCCCTTTGGTAAACACCCTGTTTGATTGCTTATGAGTGAGCGTGGGTTTCTTATGACAGGCCATCTTGGCTTATGTAGAAGACGCGGGCGATAACGTATCAGCTAGTTATTGAATTGATAGCCGGCGTGATAAACAGATAAATAAGTGCTTTCTATAACCTGTGCGAATTCGATGGAAGCGGGTAAATATGTAAGGAAAGAAAAGTCTTTGTGGGGGGTGGAAGGAAAAAAAGGAGGAATAGAGAAAAACAAGATTAAGAATTCGAGAGAGAGTCAAGATAACAAAATAATTTGAAGAAAAAGCACTTGTCACTCGTTACCGTAAAAGGATGCTAGAGGGTACGGTACAGTAACCAACGCCGTTTGCCTGAACTTGAAGAAAAAGAAGGGGATGGGAGGAGGGAGGAGGGAAAGATATGGTAAGAAAAAAGTAGATTACAAATTTCCGTGCCTATCGGAGCGTAAGTATTTGCAAAAAGGCCATCAGACAGTCGCTTTGGGGGGCAGGTGAACAGCAGCTGGTGAATTCTGGGCACCCTCATTCATACACTCGCCCAACACCGCCGAACGAGACCGTTAATCATACATCAAACTCTGCCCCATCTTCTCGCTTGAATCAAGCAAACTAATTTAGGTAAGAGAGGCGGTTAGCTTGATTGATGTCCAAAAGGTTGAGTGAGGGAAAGGAAACTAACGAGTACTGTTTTGTGAGCACACATTCTCCTCCTCTCTCCATGTCCACATTGTGCACATAAAAGTAACCATCACTAGTTACAACCATGATTTGCGGGCTTGTACTGCTGAGTGCCACTACACTCTTCAGCCCAGCATTCGGAAGTTTTACAAAGGCAAAGTCTCTCGCCGGTTCCCACATCTCGGTCACGGCATGGGGCAGGTACCCTCCAGCGGCACCGGCAATTGTTCGCCCAATCTGCTGCGAGGAGCGCCTAATTATAGAGCCGAATGTTCCGGAGCCACTGCGACGTTTTGACTCTACATAATGATCAAAACCGCCTCCCGCAGCTCCAGCATGGTTGGATGGAAATGACGCAACAGATCCCGTCGGCGAACTCTCAGCATCCGAATCAGTAGCCCGGTAAGGTCCAGGTGAGGATTCTCGGGGATTCGGTCCACCGAGGCGGAATATATGGACGGTTTCTGTTGCAGACGAGACACAGAGAAGGGTAGACATGAGGTTAAAAGCAATCGAGAAGATACGCGAAGGGTATGTTCCTCGGCGAAACTGGTAAAGTTTCTGAGCGCCGGGAATAGAAAAAACTCTAATTATCGTGCCTTTATCCGAGGCAGTAGCTAAAAGAGATCCTTCGCTGTTGAGAGCAACATTAGCTAGCGGAGCCTTGTGTGCTTCGATCACATTCACAGCTTCAAGTTTTATTGCATCAAAGAGAAGTACATCACCCGATGCTGCGAGAGGTGTGTTTACACCCGGGGGAGCATGGGAGGGAGGTGAGAACGGCGAGGTACTCGAGTTGGTTGGCCGCGGGTAAGCAATGTAACACTTTTCCGAGGAAGGCGAAAGTGCGCAGATAGCTGAGGAAAGACCCATATCAGTAAAGAGGCTACGATATTCAGTGTGGATATGGTGCCTTACCGGTGGGATTAGGTGAAGTCTCGATCGTGTACAGTAACTTCATGTTGCTGATGTCATATACATATATTTGCTCCTCCAGCACTACTATCAAACGCTTTCGGTTCAACTTGACAGCCAATATAGATGTCGGAAACGTGAGCTCGCATATCGTGGATTGGCGCTTCCGACAGGTACCATTTCACGTTAGCCAAAATTGAACCAAGAGGAGACCAGATTCAAAGCTGAGATATTATGCTCAGGGAATAATAGCTTTGTTACCATGGCTACCAACCTTTGTGTTTGTTATGACTAGTCGACGAGGGGAAAAAATAAGAGCGACGAGTGAGGTGCTGAAGAGCATTTCGATTATGGAAACATCCCCGCCCTCCTTTTGTTCGTAAACCTTGCCAAACGGATCGCAGTTATATATTCGATAGCCATTGCGGGTGCCAACGGCCAAGCAAGAGAAGTCCTGATTGAAAGTGACAAAGTTCATGGCTCTGGTGAGTGAGTGCTAGCTTTCTGTGGTCGATGGTGCTGGGGTTTGGCGGTGGAGCATATGCAGAAAGCAAATGCCGGTGATGGTGAGTCGGAACAGGGTTTTTTGTCGGGAAGGCTAGGGTCTGCCTGAAGAGATGACGATGCACAGCGTGCAAAGGAATCTGGCCGTAGAATGGTTTAGATCGCCTGGGTTTCGGGATGATAGTATTATGGGGAGTTGCTGAAGGGGGTTGAGTTTTAGCAAGCGTCAGGTCAGTCAATCAGAGAGAGGCATGGCGGATAAACAAGGAGGAGGGGACAGCAAACAAAACCATCGGCACGCGGGGAGAAGTTCAGACAAATCGCCCTGCTTAGCCGCAGACGGCGGTAGCCGTTGCCAAAGGGGCTAGAAAACGGATATCTTGGCGGTCTTGGCCTAAACCCCTCCAACTCATCGAATCCAGCACACAGATCAGGTAACAGTCCCCACGAAAATAGATGATGAGGGAGAAAAATCCCCCCAAGTCTCTTCCGCCCCGACAAACTCTTCATGGGATCAGCCCAGCTCCCATTCCGACATTATTATTCAAATCTCCAAGATTTTACCGTATTTCATCATCATGGGCACTGACACGGGTCGGGCGGCCGAAAGGAACGACCCCACCGGTGAAAAGGAAAGACGAGATACTGCAATAATGGGCGTGCGTCCCAAATTTTGCCCCTTCTCTTGAGCCCTGACTTACTTATAAAATAGACAAACACTAGTTCCATTGTGAGCAAGAGAAGTGTCGAAAGACTCTACTCCAAACCGGAAGAACCTCAACTTCTACGTTACTTCGTCAAAAAACCCCAGAGACGTTCTCCCTTGATAAACCGCGGTTATTGGCTACGGACGCAGGTTGTAGATCATGTTGTTCGCTCATTTCTATTCGAAAAACTTCCAGACCCTAAACGGAAGAAGGTCGTGATCAATCTTGGCTGCGGATAGTATGCTCCCCGATCCACCCACCGAGGGTTCATGATCTTGATGTGCTGACGCACATCTCCCCGCTTTTTAGTGATCCTCTCCCCTTCCGATTCATCTCAAGCATGCGGGACCTCAATAACGTGCTATACATCGACCTTGATTATCCTGACATGATCACTACCAAGTCACACATCGTATCTAACACCCCAGAGCTCCACAACCTCCTCAAGAACCCAGAGCTCCACGACCCGCCCGTAGACAATGTCCATTTCCGGAGCTCGCAGTATCTGGCCGTTGGTTGCGAGCTTCGTGAACTTGACAAGCTTAAGCATATACTGATGGATGGTGGGTTAATTGATAATGCTGCCCTATTGTTCACGGCCGAAGTATCACTTGCCTACATAGACCAGGGTGCAGTCGACGCGCTCGTTGCATGGACAGCTACTCTTCCGGATGGTAAAGCTATCCCCCCTCGTTTCGAAGGCTTGTGAATGCATCAGTGGGTCGTAGTTGCTTATGAACTTTAGCCCGCTTTTCGGTACTAGAGCAGTGTATGCCTTCAGGATCATCTCATCCATTTGCCAGAACTATGTTAAAACACTTCAGCAACCTATCCACCCCTCTGAAATCAATTGAGGCATACCCTACTCTTACCGATCAAGCTTCCCGGTTTGCAAATGGGGGCTGGAAAACAGTAGATACTTTAGATCTCCTAGCCTTTTGGAGTAGCTTAGTGACGGACTTCCAAAGAAAGCATCTGGAATCAGTAGAGCCCTTTGATGAGTGGGAAGAGTTCTTCGTATTTTGCCAGCACCATTTTATTACCCATGCGCGGACCGGAGGAGTTCACCAGCAGGATCCAGGACCATTCCGGGCAGAAGGGATAAAATGGAGAGGGGGAGACTACCGTTCTCATCCGGGTCTACGGCCATCTCTGGCGCGAGCTCGCAGCTCGAAAGAATCCATGGCTGAGGGTGGATACATTGGCGAGTTCACAGCGTTCCCACTCTTGAGACGATGGATGGGTGCTGCAGCGAAATGGGGGGATAACCAATGGGTTTACCATGGAGGTCTAGGCTCATCTAAAAGGCTAGGGACATCTTTACTTATTACTGGGGATGAGCAAAAGGACCCCCTCAAACGCTATAGGGAAGACCCGACGCTGAACAGGCGAGGCTCAGGTGCAAGGATGTGCCATACGCTTACCCAGCTTGCGCCAGAAAAGTTGCTACTAGTCGGTGGAAGAGCTTCGCCGGATGCACCCATGAGTGACGTCTGGATCGTGAAATCCGGACATTGGAAGAAAGTCGAGAGCCTTCCACGGGGTAGGTATAGACACTGCGCCGCTGCAGTTGGGCCGGAGAAGGTACTAATCTGTGGAGGGAAGGGAGATGGAAACGTCGTTTTGGACGAGTGGTTTTTGTGGAATGGGGATCAGGGCTGGAAACAGTTGACAGTTGACGCAGAACGAAAGCCATCTCCGAGATTTGGGGCAAGTTTATGTTGGACCGACAGAGGATACGGAGTATTGAGCGGTGGTATGGATGATAAGGGCCAGGTCCTTGGGGATCTGTGGAGGCTTGAGATAGTAGATGATAGTAAGCTCGTTGTAACATGGAGCTTTGTCAACTTGCTCTCTACAAGGAGCTTACTGAGACGGTTCGGTGCAAAAACGACCTACTTGGGAGAGGGAAGATTGCTGATCATCGGCGGCGTTTCCGGTGGGACGCTGATAAAGGCTGAGGATGAGGTAGTGGAGATACACTGTGAAAAACTTACAGTAAAGGGAGTCGATGTTGCCTGCCGTGAGCCCGGAGAAAAGCCACCTTTTTTGATAGGGCACCAGGTGTTACCAGCTAGCGAGGGGATTTTCTGTGTTGTTGGGGGTGGGGGTGTGTGCTTCAGCTTTGGAGGATGCTTTAACGAAGGGATATGGACCCTTGCCCCGCCAAATGTGGAGCCACCAACCCGGGAATGGAGAGTCTTTGAAGAAGGGGAGGTCTTACAGAAAAAACGCAAAATGATACCCCCCACGGATCCGGACAACAAAACCAGAGCCACGGGAGAGGGAGGATCGTTGATGGCTGGGATTAGGAGGGTCACCATCAAGAGCCAGGAGGACTTTTGGAAGGTTCGAGATGCCGGAGAGCCTGTCGTGATCGAAGGGTTGGATATCGGTAAATGCGTCGAGAAGTGGACTCCTAGCTACCTCAAAGCCACGGTTGGCCCGGAAAGATGGGTGCATATGCCACCTGTTTTGGTTACGCTGGGGATACAAGGGCTAACGTATGAGATATAGGTCATCGTTCACGCCTCGCAAGCCAAAAGCATGAACTTCCACGCCAAAAACTTTAGCTACAAAAACATGACCTTTGGCGACTTTATCGACGCCATAACCAGCGAGTCGTCACCGGAAACCCTCTACCTCCGTTCCCTCTCCTCCACCAGTCCCAAAACCGACCCAGCCAAGCTCGCCCAGGACTTCCCATCACTCGCGGAAGACTTCACCATCCCTCCGGAACTCCAATTCGCACAGGACCACGAACACAGCTCACCGCTCCGCATATCCGCCAAGGAAGTCGGAGTGTGGCTGCACTTTGACGTGATGGCCAACCTCCTCTGCCACATCCATGGAACCAAACGATTCAAAGTATACCCACCGACAGACATCACCAAGCTGAGCTTCCTACCCAGTGCATCGTCCTCGACGATTGAGAATCCTTTCGATCCAGAGTTGGAGCCGGACGACGCTCATCCGATGGAGACAATTTTGAAACCCGGAGATGTATTGTTTATCCCCGAGCTGTGGCCGCACGCAGCATATCCTTTGGAGCCGTGCGTGGCTGTTAACGTGTTCTTCAAAAGTCTCGAGCATGGGTACAGCTCTGGTAACGACGTCTACGGGAATAAGGACCTGGCTGCATATGAGAAGGGGAGGACAATGATTGGCAGGATTGGCAAGGAGTTTGAGAGGTTGCCGAGTGCTGCAAGGAGGTTTTACATGGAGAGGTTGGCGGACGAGCTCGCGAATATGGCGACGAACGAATAGATGGATCCAGTGCCCAGGGGGTATTTGGTATTCACAAATCGTTGGCTCTGTATCAACGTACTCACGGGTTTGTGATACTGTAAATAAATTTAGTAATTCAACACTAGCCTCAGATCACAAATTATCACTCGCTTCTTCACATATTCCTACTCCTCGTATCAAGCCCCAGAACCTACAGCGAACCCTCCGGAATTTATTAATCGGTCCCCCCCCCGGTTCCAGCGTCTCTTTGATTTATTCCCATAACAACTCTCGAGCCTATCCAATGACACCATCGGCCCAAAGCTTCCTCTTGGCTCCCATCTCAACAGCTGCGGAACCCACGTCAGCATCGCCGATCCGGCCGAAATGAACAATAATAAAAATCTACCATACCCGCATCTCCCCAGTCTTCGCCGTGGTTATGTCCACCAGGAGTCAATCCGGCACGTATACTTGCCTGTTCCTCGTTCAGGACGGTCTGCACCCCGACGCCAAATTCACCCATTGTCAGTGGACTGGTTTCTCTCTCTCTCCCTACCCCCTTTTGAATCCCGAAGACGGGGAGTTGCAGAAAAATCGCCAGACATACAAGTAAACCAAAAATAACTGGAACACCGAAGTCTAGTTGAACCCTCATGAGTCCATGAGAGACGGACTCCGCTATGTGTTCGAAGTGCATGGTATCACCCTTGATGAGTACACCGATGGCAATTATTGCGTCAAACGTCCCCTTGCTGCTAGAACTCGCTCCAGGAACTGGAGTGGAGCTACGACCGAGTCCACCGAGGAGGTCTCCCGAGGGGGCGGATGAGGCTTGGACTTGGCTGGCGGAGTACAAACTATTTTATCATTCGATTCCTGGGTTAGATATGGGGGAGGTAGATGGCGGTTTTGAACAAGGAGGAGGAGCAGTATAAACCGTTGAACAGCGATAGGAAGCTCCCAGCTGCCCGGGACGCTGTGGGTAATGATGTTGAGAGGCTTCACACCACGTTCTTGGAGCTTCTTACGCGCCCCTTCAACGAGCGGTGTGACGAGGCTGGTATTCCAGCGGGCGTGAACTATGAGGACACGGAGGTTGGTGCCTGCATTTTGTATTTTGTCCTGATTAACCCAGGGCTTGTAGTTTCATTGGGGAAGATGCTTGGCTGTTGCCGGGAATTTACCATCCAGAGCCTCCGCTTCGCCGGGTCCCTTAGTTCCCGAAAACATCTTGCTTTCTTTTTTTTTTCCCCTCCAAGAAAGAAGAAAAAAGAAAAGAAGCGAATTGATTCCGCGAGGAGCAGGAGGTGAGGGTGTGAAGGTGAGGGTGAAGAATAAATATTAGAGGGGACGAGGAGCAAAGCAAGGAGAAGGAGGAGGGATGTGGAGAAGGGAGCCGGGTGGAGAAGGAAAGGTTGGAGGTAAGCTCAGGGAGAGCGAGAGGGGAATCACACCCTGCAAGATGAGGCGGGGTAGATGTTGGAACCCTGGAGGGGTAGGCCTTGCAATGGTGGGGAAGAAGATGCGAAGCAATCTAGTCCAAGAGTTAGGAGGGCCGTTCGATCGTCCGAAGAAGTATGAGAACTATATCGTGACGGTGAGCCTTGCCAGGACTCAATATAGCTACGGTAGAGCAAAGCTTCTATCTTCCATCACAATTCGCGCTCTCCATTCGACAGCATCTCAATTCCACCATCCAGACCACTCCATTAGTCACGGGTCACGCTGGTCCCGTTTTCTTTTTTCACACGGTCAGAGTGAGAAAAACGGAGGGGCGAGTAACAATGGGCCGTACTCGAGTACGGGTAGACAAAACTGTAACTCAGCAGCTACAGCCCAGCCAACCCTGCCAGCCACGTCACTAATGCTTTCAAGCACACCAAAACACCCCCGCCAAGAATGCAAGGGACCATCATGCCAGAACTAAGGGAGAAAACAGCCCTAAGCCCTTCAAGTCACAAAACTAATTACTAAGTCAAGAGAATTCCCAGGCCCGCGCCTTTCTCTTGGCAGCATTGGACCCGAATCCTCCCTCCCACGATACATCAAAGACCAGCCATCGCGGACACAACCTTGACCAAACTTCTCTAACCTAAAACACCACCACCACCACCACCACCACCACCATCCTTGTCTGACCCATCAAACTCCGCCCAGCCGCCAGAGCACTCACAAGATGAACAATCAGACTTATTACGAGCTCTACCGTCGTTCTAGGTACTCTACGATTCCCCATCGCCACTGCCCCAGCCCTACCCCTCGCTTCTGCTGCTGCTGCTGCCACTATCGCTAGCTAACGAGGCATGCGCCTTAGTATTGGAACGGCCCTCACGGATGCGCTCGATGATTTGATCAGCGAGGGGCGTATCGCTCCGCAGCTCGCCATGAAGATTCTGTCCAACTTCGACCGCTGTATCACCGAGATTCTCGCTGACAGGGTTAAGGCCAACTTGACTTTCAAGGTTTATTTCCTTTCCCACCCGGCCCATTCTCATAGGAGCAAACGAAACAAGGGAGGCGAGGCAATGGGCTAACCGCTACGGGTTTGCCTGCGTCTGCGTGTGTTTTTTAGGGCCACCTGGACACCTATCGTTTCTGTGACGAGGTCTGGACCTTCTTGATCAAGGACGTTACTTTCAAGTTCCAGCAAGGGCAAGGACAAAATTCGAGCGTTTCCGCGGACAAGGTCAAAATTGTCTCCTGCAATTCGAAGAAGCCCGGCGAGCAGTAAAGGGTGGAACGTATACTCGAGTAGATGGATGGATAAATCGCTGGCCGAGGGGGGGCTGGAATAGATGAGGAGGAAGGGAGGCGGGATATGGGTAGCTCACGGAAAGCGGAAAAAAAAAGGGGGGGGGAGAGAAGGGATCATCGGGCGATAATGAGCTTTTCTTTTTATCTTTGTGGATATTCTCGGTCTCCTTACGGCGTTTGTATTGGTTTCTTACTTCATACTTGCTATACACAGTAGTTTCAGAAATAAACGGCATTAACCATTAACCATATTAGAGCTTTCATAGCTCTTCCCCGTTGACATATTTGAAGTATGATACCAGTGCTCGAGTACGAGGAGCTATAACTTCTCTCCAGCCCTCCGCCAAATTACTCATCTACAAGTTGAACTTCCTCCTCGGCTATTCCATAACCCCCCCGGTCTAGAGACGTACCGGTATTGGCTAACACGTCAAACACCAAACAGAGCACCCACACCCCGCAGGCCCCATAACTATGCATAAACCTATCCCCTACCCCACCAGCCCGATATGGCCTCAACCCAACATCCAACCCCTCCAACCCCTCCAACCCCTCCTCCTCCTTCACAAGCCCGGGACACCACACCACCGCTCTCTTCATAATCCGCCCAGCAGGGAGTGAGCCCACCTCCCCATCCCACCTCCCAGACTGAGAACAACCCCAATACCCCCCCCACCTACCGCCCTTCCCACCAAATACAGAACCTACCCTTCACCATCCGCCCCTGAGACATCAATCAAAACGTCGACCTCACTCCTTACCATCAGTAGTTGCCCACGCGCGGGGGGGCGCCCAAAATGTGGTTTAGCACCATGCGGCGCAGGGTTATGCCTGAGGAGAGGCATTATTTAGAGAGGAGCCAAAGGGGGTAGATTGCTATGCGATGTATAGCGAGGCGAAGCGGGTACCGGAGTTGGGGGAGTTTGGAGAGGCTGAGCATGCTAAATTAGGGGGGTTGTTGGTAGTCTAGGTTTAGCTCAGGGTGACGTTAGGAACCATATCCCGAAGCCACGGCATTGGATCAAGTAGTTCACCTGACCGCTCCACCGTAGATCATAGCATCCGCTCCCTCAATCCTTCATCAATGTCCACACTTTATCCCCCGCAGATAAACCGTCCCACCCTACCCTGAGCATCAACCCCAGTCCCTGAAGCCTCAACTGCAAGCTTCCACATCTCCTTTAACGTAACTCTATCCTAACCTCCCTCTCTACTCCCCCGCCTTCCAGGTCCTATCACCTCATAACAGTTTTGGGAACAATAAACGGTAAGAAATTGGGCCCCACGCGCGGTGTGGGATGGGACGGCAGGCGGAGAGGAAGAAAAAAATTACCGGTAGGACATGGCACCCGGATGTACATCAGACGCCCTTTGAATAACGATGGGAAAGATTGAGAACAGGTGATAGGCCGCGACCGGCGATGGGTGAGGTTCGGTAATTCAATTCATCCCTACCGGTAACAAGAGTCCATTAACCGGCTGCACCGCCCTGTTGCGAATGCGACCCCCCCCCCCCCCCCCAACGAACGGTATCCCCCTGGAAATACCGTTTTCTTCTCCCAAGCGCGAATACACATATACAGCCCTCTCGTGTCTATCCATTGCCTTGAGAGCGATCCGTACTGTGGCTGAAGTATCCATGCAGTAAATACGACTTCAGTCCCTGCAACTCGCATCCAGCTCGCAATCTACTACGGCATGAGTAGATATAAAGTTCGAGACAGTACCTCATCCCACTTTTACCCCCAATGAATCATATTAGTGGGCGACACCCAAAACCCTCCCCCCCGTTGGCCACAGGACAGAAGCCAACTACACCAAAAAACGGGGGACTTTCAAGCCACCACTTTTTCATGAATTCACTTACAATCGGCTCCGAAACGGTTTCAAGGGACACGGGAGAATGTCTGAAACGCATATCATAATACCACACCATCTCTATCAACCCCCCGCACATCTCTATAGGCACCAATTCCTGGACTCCCAAAGAAAAAGGAAAAAAAACCCCTCAGACCAAATCCGAATGATGATCCAAATGTCCGTTTTCTCCTCTCCTGATGAGCCGGGGCAATTTTTTTCCCCTTCACTCTTCACCCATAATATCAATATAATACCCATTGAATTCTGCCGGCCTAAGAAAAAACTCCCCATCGGTATTTGGCGTGGTGCTCCCTAACTACCGCCTAACCCGACACAAAGGTAATGGTACCGCTGCACTAGGGAGGTTCTGTAGGGAGCCATGAACGTGAACTCGAACGTTGCTGTGCGCTGGGAAAGGACTAGTGTGTTCATGACGAAAAGGAGGTTCTGTCGTCTAGTGTGAAAAACTTTGCACTTGAGCTATGGTGAACAGCCCCCTGGGCGGCAATAGCAATAGTATATCCATCCAACTGTTCTGTTTATGCTTTCAAGTTCACGCTAAATTATGAATTATACAAGTTCGTGCTTAGACTCCGATCCTAGTGTGAACTTCATTTAGTGCATTAGACTTATGAAATTAGCAAGGTTGAAGACTGTCGCTGTAGCAACAAGTTCAAGTTCACGTTCATGCCCGTCTGCAGGTCCTCCCTACTGTGCTGTACGGGAAATAAACCGAGTGAGAATCCATGCCGAAATAGTTTGCCATCAGCCAATTCTACAGTCACTCGGCGAAATTGTTCTTCGTGGTGGGTTGGGGGGTCTATTCATGATATTATGATATCATAGGAAAGAGGTCCGTTCTATGTATGATACCTGCAAAGAGAGAGTAACTAGTCTAAATTCCGTCGCATCTCGCCATAGCAAGGAAAATGCAAAACACCGCCACGGGGAGCGTTCTCATGTCCCTTTTTTAAACTCACACCGCACTCAAGCTACTCCCACACGGTATAGGTGTGAGTATAGTACTAGTGCAAGTACCAGTGTCATGAAAGTGCTCGAAAACGATATAGCTATGATTCATATACCTGCCGGCACGGCATCTAATCAAGGAAAAGTAAGCTGGGAGCAACTTTCTATTACCGTATATGTGGTAGGTATAGTTCTTGGCCAAAAGTCATTGTTGACTATGTGACCGATTGTGCAAAAAAAAAAACTGCAATCTCAACAATGGCACTCAGAAAAGAGTTGGAAGAAAGGAATGGCCTGAGTCTATACATTGGAGAGTTGTAGGTATGAGGGAGGTAGGAACAAGCTTTGCAGAAATATCACAGCAGGTGAAAATACCAGTTTCTACCCTTCCTTCAGCCTACCAATGATATTAGACACTGGTTCAGTTTTCCCCCATATCAGAGTAGGTCACATAAAAATAAAAAAACCTCTCATAGTTGCTGTTATTTAGTTATTGCTTTCCAATACAACTGAGAAATCCCCTTATAGCAATTGTATTGAGATTTTACTTCTTATGTCTTAGTTAAGACAATTATGAGAAGACTTACAGAACATGGTATTCATAAGTATATCAAAGCTGAAAGGTCAAGGTTAATATCTGTTCTGGCAAGGAAGAGATATGAGTGGTGCCTTAAACATAGGTATTAAACAATTTCACAATAGAGGAAAGCGGTATGGAGTGACAAATACAGTACTGAGAAGCCAGCAGATTTAGTAGTTCAATAGATATTTAAAACTTCTAAGGAAAAGGGGCTACCAGAGTGTGTCAAGAGTGTAAGAAAGTTAGTAAGTAGGAGTTAAGCAGATGGTCTGGGCATACTTTACTAGTGGATTGAAGAGCACATGTAATAAGATAAAATTGGAAGTTGATACTAGACTATTTATTTATCTGAAAGATCAGTGGAAGGCACCCCTAGGAGGGTTAATAGCATACTAAATATCAAATTAATAATTTGTATTCATTTATTCAATTCTTGCTATCCTACAAAAAAAAACCTGCTATTAGAAGTATGACTAGGATTGTGCAGTGGTTAGTAGTGTCAAGGAGCAGTAAGTGGGCGGGCACCGTTGTCAAGCATGCCAACAATCACTTTTGTCCCCGAACTGTAGGTAGGAATATCCTACCGATATACGAGTTAACTTACAACCCCCGCAGCCTTATAAGTCAACTTAGGCAACAACGGCGGGTTCCCGGCAGCAACTCCCAAGACGCATGCATGGTGCCGTCCGTCGGTAGCGGCATGTAAACTATAATAGTACAGTACGGTACAGCACGATACAATGCACATCTCGTCCGCCTTAGGACAACTACGGTATTATCATACCAGGCCGCCGGCCTGAACAATAAGAACCCTCCCCTAAAGAAACGCCGGAGCCCGCCAGGAAATCATGTGGAGAAAGAGAAGAAAAAAAAGTCGGCTATTATATTCGGAATCTCTACACTTATAATACCCCATCATATCATATCATACATATCATAACTCGATAAACACAAAGGATACATTACAGCGCCTTCACTCCTAGTTTCATACGATCAGGCATTCCAGGTACTGTATGATACCGTGAGCTTGCGCACGAACGGCGGCAGAATCCTAGCAGCATCAACAAACAAACAAACGCTACCCGTACGAGTACCGTACTGTACTCTACGGTACTCGTGCCATACCGTATTTAAAAGAGACCACAACTGCCAAGACTCATAATACTCGTACGGTACCCAGGGTTTTTTTTAAAAAAAAATAAAAATAAAAAAAGAGAAAAAAAGAAACTCTCGACGGGAGTCAAGGGTGCGGGTACGGTACGGTGCAGTACTCGTACAGTACAGTACCCCACCAAGTCGCCAAAAAACCCCCCCCCCCTAATACTCCAACTATCGTATCATACAAATCTCACAAAGACACCACCCGCAAGCAGCATAAAAATCGAAAGGGAAAAACTACCCACCCCACCTCACCAGCCGAGCCAGGAAAAAAAAAATTAAAAAAAAAATGAGCCACTCCGAGGAATTCCCGCTGTTGGAAGGGGTGGGACTCTACGCGTCCGACATCTCCGGCGACGGGAATTGTCTATTCCATGCGCTCAGTGATCAGGTATGCTCTTCTTCTTCTTCTTCTTCATGCTTTATCATCTTGTAAACGTGGAAAGCGATAACTTATCCATTCACGATACCGCAAAGTTATACGGGCATGAAAACAATCACTCGGAGATTCGGGAGAGGGTCGTTGAACGTATGATATAGATTACTACCCCCTTCACCCACTCCTTCTTCCTCCATTTGCTGATGATCGGGTCATAGATATGCGTAACAATGCCTCCTACTTCAAGCTCTTCCTCGACGTCGGTCCCACACGGCGTGCGCCCAAGCGGAAAGCGGCCAACAAAAATAATGGTAAGAACGCCACCACGGTTACGGCTGGGCTGCCGAGCGAGAGTGCGATTGATGTTGCGTTCGCGCAGCACTTGAGCAGGATGGCCAGGTCCGGGGTTTACGGGGACAACATGGAGATCAGCGCGTTCGCACGGGAGTACGAGTGCGACGTCAAGATTTATCAGAGAGATTTTGCTTACGTTGTTACCGGTGGGGAGGGGATTGACGATGATGAAGGAGGGAGAGGAAGAGGAGATCCGGGGAGAGGGGGGAAGAGGAAAGCACTGCATATTGCTTACCATGTAAGTTCCATATAACTCCTCCCCCCCCTACCTACCTACCTACCTACCTACCTACCTACCTACCTATATCCCCATTGCCCCGCACACCGCACCCGTATTAAACCTTTTGAGAAGGAGGTATAATAAAAAAAACGAGTGATTGAATTGACCCCCCCCCCCCTCCCCGGGAGGAATGAACAACAATTTTCTAAGCTCATACAAATCACGAGTGCGCTTCAATCACAGACATGGGAGCACTACTCGTCAGTTCGGAACAGAGGCGGACCACACACCGGACCCCCGAACGTTTCCCCGGTACCCTTGACCGAAGAAGGGCGTAAGGAGCAGGATAAGAAGCTTGCTGGTGGCTCCTACGTTCAGCCGTGGATGGTGAAAACTGTGACCTCAAGCTTGCCGTATCTAACAGACCCGCAGAGGGTTCGAGAAGCGTTAGAGGAGGCCAAGGGGAATATCGACGTAGCGGTTTCGAGGTTGTTGGACGTTGAGGAGGGGGAGGATGAGCAGCAACAGGAGGAGGAAAACGGGAAGGAAGAGTATGCGAATAAGAGCAAGGATGCGAAGGAGAAGGAGAAGGTGGATGTAGCTCCGGGAGAAGGTGAGAAGATAAAGGAGAAGGAAACCGAAAAGGCGGACGCCCAAGGATCCCCTGAGATCCAAGGCAATGCGGATAAAGTCAGCGATCCAACGGCGGATACAAATGGTGCAAAGACCCCCAAGAGGCTGACCCCAAAGATGGGTGCTCGAGCATCAGCTCGTATAAAGGCCAGGGAGGGCTCTAGAAGCAATCCTGGAGCGGGGAGCGGTCCAGAGAACTCTGGCTCTGCCGCTGAAGAAACCCGCAAACAGCAACCACCACACCCAAAGAAAGAAACCGCTCGTGAGAGAAAGGCCAGACAGAAGGCGGCTGCGAAGCAAAGGAAAAAGGAGAAAGCTCTCGGCGACAGGGACGCAGAGTCTGAGAAGGGTACTACTGTTATCACAACAGGCATTAAGGAGCTCTACGTTTAGAATTCTCTGTTTGAAGCATTTTCACGCCTGTATCACTTCCTTTGACTCCCTTTGCTCTTAAAATCTCAATCCGGGCTCTTTTATTATTGCTCAAGCTGAACCGCTACAAAGAGAAGTCGGGCAAACGATATCAATATACCATTTTCACGACGGAAGACTTATGAAAAAAGAAACCACTCCCCCCGAACCATGTCAAAACAGTCATGCCCGTGAACCCACAGAGTAAGAAGAAGAAGGAAAAGCTAGACCCTATGCAAAGAAGAAACCGCCAAACAAGACAGAAAGAATTTTGATCCAAGTGTAAAATTACTGGGAAGTGGCAGGAGCGGGGGTGGTCTCCCCTTCGGTCTTGGGCTTCTCCTCTTCGGTCTTGGGCCTCTCCCCTTCGGCCTCGGGCTTCTCCTCCTCAGCCTTGGGCTTCTCATGGTAGGCCAAGACAAGATTCTGTTTCAGAAAATGTTAGTTGGTCTCGAAAAACCACAAAATTAGATGCGGAGCACGGACCGTAAGGCCTCTCGGGTTGGCACCGACAAACTCATTAACCTTTTTCCCGTTCTCGAAGAAGAGGAAAGTGGGCATGGCACGGATACCCAGTTCAGCAACAACGTCAGGAACTTCGTCAACGTCCATCTTGAAGAACTCAACACCCTTGACATCAGAGGAGAGTTTCTCGAAGATTGGAGAAATGGCTTTGCAGGGACCTACAAATGATGTCAGCATATCGTAGCGTCAATCATTACCAGAAGGTTTGCATCAGTTTCACTCACCACACCAGACCGCATGGCAGTCGATGATGGCGACCTTGTTCTTGATAGCCTTCTTGTAATCCTCGGAGCTTTCAGAGGCGTTAGCACTTTGCGGACAGCGAGGGAGGACGGGGGAGAGAGATTCAAAGGATATCATTAATCCCACTTACTTCTCGATGACCTGAACCATGTTGAAAGATGTTTGATGGAAGTTTTTGGTAAAAGTTTTAGGTATAAAAGGGTGAAGTGGGGGTGTTTGAGTGGTGGCACGGAAAGAGAGGGGCGGAGTGCGAAGGAGAGATTGTAGTGATACTAAAGTAGATTCAGAGCGAGTGCCTCCGGGTATCGTAAGCGTACAGGCAGCGTTTGTGTTTGTATGAAGGTGAAGTCTGAACGGAGAAGGGGTCGAGGACCGATATTTAAAGCCGTACCTGTAATGTCAGCCCCCCTCTCCTCCCATTCCCACCACCTCCGGGCCACACACCCTGCTTACGCAGTGGTTCGATTTTGGGAGCGTTGATCTCTGTAAAAGCACTTGACACCTTTCGGGAACCTTCTTACGACTTACCTACGCATGTTTCCCCTCCACATACTGTACAATATGATGGCAACTATCGGTGGTGGTGGGTGAATCCAAATCGGCAGCGGAAATATAGCGGAGCAGAGGAGGAAAAAACTCGTGGTGCGGGGGCTCGGGAGAGAACCCTTCGTGCTTGCTCTCATCTTGCCAGCTAATTTTACTAGAGTATAGACCAAGTATGATACAGGCACCGTAGAGCGCACTCCCAACACACACAAACAGGAAGAAACCCAAACAAAACAACAATCACAACCCTTCTGCCTATCATGCCCTTAAGCCAGGGGTTGTGCCCTCTCCAATGGCCACCAGATGGGATTACTTCTATCACAATACCCGTATTGTCCTTCTGAACGAAGCCTTGTCCCCCTTGTCCCTCTTTTCCGCGGGCCGGCGAAACAATACAGAGAGGGGGGTTGGGATTGCGGGAACGGAGGAATTTTCTGCTATGATAGGCGCAGGGTCTCCACTTCCGGTATCTTCCTCTCAGTCCGTTCCGAACAGAAGGCCGAGAGGGAAGGGAAAAAATACAAATAAAAATACATTGGCACTTTGATTGTGGGAGGAGGGGCAGGGATGACGCCATCGTACCTTTTTGTCATCGACCCCGGCGATGCCCCGCCCCATTCGCTGTGCCCAGATCTCGATCGTCACCCGCCACGGGGAAACTCGAGCACTGTACCGATACGACACAGGGCACTGGCTGTCCCTCACTGTCACTTTACTCGACCGGGCGCTTCTTAGAGACTTTGCGATTTCGCATCCAGAGTCAAATTCTAGCCATCTAATTGGCCCAGAACCCTGTTTGACCCACATCCAGAGTCTTTTCGCAAAGTCCCTAAGTTTCTCCCCTTTTTGATTACCCCATTCTGGGTTTTCGGCAACTTGCCGTATGTAAGATTTGTCAGCTCAGAGCCCCTTGGCCTCGCTTCCTTCGCTTGGTCCCGAAGCAGGGCTGGCTGGCTACCGTATGCGAATGGATTGGTGGAATCCGCACATCTCAAATACCAGTATCATACCGGTGCTAGCGCTCGGACTTGGCACTTCCCGTGTGGTAAGCCGGCCATGAAAATTGCTATTTGCACAGCTTTCCTAGTCGCGTCCGCCATCGGATCAGAAGCCCCGGTCCGCAGAACATCATGTCACGCGGCTCAGACCGCGGTCCTATCACGCCTCGAGTCCGAGCCTTTGCTCGCCCCCCCCCCGCTTCTACGAGGATCTCCACCGCTCAAAGGAAGCTACCAATCGCCTATCCAACTGACAAATGGCCAACGCCTAGACCCGAAACCCAGCTAGATGGGGGGAGCCACGTATAGCATCAACATACGGCACCGTACGCTAAATTTACGTGCCCAAACCGCTACTCCTACGGAGCTTTCCTCCGCCGCGGCGAGTGACACTGAGGCGCTACAAGTTGCGAGCAATCGATCATAAGAACGCGGATCTTTTACTGGAACCAACACCGAATTCGTTGGGCGCAAAGGACCCGCCAACGCTATCACGGTAAAGGGGGATCATCCCTTTCTTGAGGTAGACTTGGAACGAGCTCTTTACGAGTACATGTTCCCGTCATGTTATGACATGTCCGGTATTCCCGCAGTACCACGGTACTCGTAGGACAACCTTCTCATGCTCTGGTATCAATTTTCTAACCGCTCAGAGTTAGGGTGCGTTGCAAATAGCCATGGAACCGTTATGATATGTACGGTACTCAGCGCAGTACGTGTTGCTGGTGCCGCGCCCAGTATATCCTCCGATCATTCCTTTCCCACAGAGCCGCGACTCTACACTTCACACCCCCCCACTCGCACCACTCCAAGGTTGCATAACCATCGTAGCCGCAGGACGTCGTAATAACTCCCCGGTGCATCTCCTCCGCTCCCCAAGGCATGGGATACCGCTGAACCACCAACTTGTACAGCACCGTGAGCTGCGGGCTGAGCATCTCACCCAAGTACGTATCTGAACCCTCCGAGATTTCCTGCCATAATGCTTAGAGTCCGATCAAATTAATAAACAATTTAATTAATAACCAAGGGTATCCAAGCCCACTCCTATCATATCGCTACTAAACTTCTGTGGCTGGCCTTGGGTCGCAGAGGAATGGGCATAGGATACCGTAACGTTGGGGATCCTGGGAGGACGGGCGCATAATATGACATGAAAGCAACTTTTGGAATGATGCAATGTGTTGAGAGTTTGTTTGGGCTTCTGGATGTGCTCCAATTCGTGTCGTCCGCGCTGCTGGATGAAGTGCCTTGCCCATTTGGACGGGATGCGAAGCTGTATGATTGTTAATTGTTGAAATAACACCGCTATTGTATCGATGCGCGCAGTGGACGTTATATGCAGATGGCAACTGCGCGTGGAACTCGTTCCATACACTACCTTCTTTGCAACGCACCGTATCAACTCCTACCTGACGGTGGCACGGCTCGAAACCAATTCTCTGGAGCAACCCGGGGCATGATATCGTTCACCAATCAATCATCTCTGCCCGGCGAATAGCGGCTCCAACGCACTCCTCCACCCCAGGATCCCTCTGGTGCCTACGGCGGTCATCTCACTAGGATCGCTATCCGCCGGGAAAATATACCCAGAGCACAGTACTGTTCTAGTACTGCACTCGAGTACAGTATTATCCAAACTAATCCGAGCAAGGAGAAAAACCACGGCCCGAGCGTCGCTTAAATGATTTTCAAAACCTCTCATCCACTTGACCGCCTCGAAGTGGGGATTTGGGTTACATCCCTTTCAGGGCTTGCCTTGTTTGGGGCGGTGTAATAATAGTACAGTACAACGCTATGTTTCTGCATGATTTGAATAATGAACAAACATGGTTTTGTCATGTCTAACTTAGCGCTGGAAAGTTAAATACAGGTATGGTACGATACAGTAACAGTACCGGTAGGTGGGCGGATACGGTACTAGACTCCTCTCTCTCTCCCGATGGATCCTGAAACCTGGCCCGCGTGGAAAATTGGAATCGAACCTTGGTGCGAGACTTTTGGATGGCTTTTGTCCATGTTTAAAGAACGGATAAGCCCCCCCCCCCTAGGAAAGGGCCCAGCAATGTTGTCCCTGCCGGGAGAACTTCGGCAGGCTATCTCCAATCGAATTCGATCCAAATTGAAGCAGGGATGTGCTAAAGGTCTCAAGTACGAGTACTAGTATGATACAAGGTCAGGCATTTTAGTCATGATACAAGTACCGGTAAAGTACTCGACGTTTTTTAAAGTCTCCGGAATGGGAAATGAATAAGTGATGCACTGATGGCGTAACTTCTGGCTTCACCTCACCGATATTTGCAGGAATTTACAGTAACTTGGGCACCGGGCCCGCAACCCACGTTCCGGAGACTTTAAAAAACGCCGAGTACGATACTTGCAAAGGGCAGGAACGTCAACTTCATTCCAGTACCGTAGTGGTACGAGTATACAACGCCAGTAGGGGGAGGAACCCAGCAATAAGTGTATGTGTATTTCCTCACTGTGCAATACTGGTGCGACAGTACACCCATTCTTCTTCCTCTCGCCTCTACTCGTATCAGCGTACAAGTTACCATGACTAAATGTCAGACCGTACGAGAGATAAATTAGCAGGTACAGTAGGGTTACGGAGGCACCATACCGTACTGTACGAGTACAGCACCTATTAAGTTTTGTAATATTTTACTACCGGTAGACCAAGGGGGTGCTACCGGTAGTCCGACAAGGGGTAAGTCCCACGAATCGAGCAATTATTAGCCACGGATCGGGTAACCTCCACCGAGAAGTCACCAATTTGCGGGCCCTTACCCCCTGCTGTCCGAGCATCCCCCCATAAAAACCTAGTGTAGGTGCTTCATGATATGCCTCGGTACGGTACGGTTCAGTAAGATACAAGAGACAGTGACCACTGCACCGGTACCGGTACCGGTAACTTAGCCCATAACGGAATTACCCACCGACCGACAACCCAACCTAACCTAAACGCTTCGCACGCACGCAAGCCCGTTATCCGCTATTTACCATCCATCCGTCCATCCAGTCCTGGATCCACACAAATACCGTACCTTACGGTACTCTCTTCTACCGGCGCAGTGCGAGTACAGTACAGTACAGTACTCGTAGACCATCCATAAGTTCAAGTTATATCATACTCCTCCCCCCCGATGCGAAGCACACACCAGCACTCGAGTATTGTCCGTATCGAGTACAGTACAGCACCCGTAGGATCTCGTGAAATCCACCATCTCCGGCACCCCCCCCCCTCATTTTCCACTATAGGCAGGTTATAAAACGAAAAAACTGCGAATACCGGTTACCGTAGCGAGCGAGATCCAACGCAATTTAGACGGCCGATCTTTTTCATTTCACTTGCTGTATACCCATCAGGGAGATGCTGGCTGCTACTTCTCTCGAGGGCAAGGACTGACGGGGATATCAAAGTGTATTTTCACGAGATTTTATGGTATGATTGTCCATCATACCGGTAGACTATGATAGGCTACAGCGTAATAGGTTATGGCGAAACGAACCGCCGTCCTACTCGACTCTACCCTACTTACTTACTTATCATACTTACGATAACTGTACCGGTATGGTACTGTGCTTCGTGTGTACCGGGTATAACACTCTGACTCGTTACAAAGCACCGAAGCGAACAATAGTCCCTCCTCCTCCAACAAAGTACTATCATACAGTATCATATCGCACAAAACAATATGATACTCCCAGCAATTCGGTACCGTACTGTACAAAACAAACAAAACTAACCCACTCCACAAAATGGCAACGAGCGGGAGAGGTACGAGTACAGTACGATAACGGCAAGTACAGCACTGTATCATATTCCCAAACACCAGGATGAGTGAGTGGGGAGAGAAAAGAAGAAAAAAAAAAGTAAATAAAAATAAAAATAAAATACGAGCAAGTAAGCGAGAGACCTAACCCTGTCTTATCCATCCATCCATGAATCTATCCATGATGCCCACTTGCCCATTTCAGTCCGGCTTACTCACTTACTCACTTACGGTAGATATAATAATGATAATAATAATGATAATAATAATTTTTTTCCTCCAATGATCGATCATTGGCCCCCTGTTCCCTTTCCTTCCCTTTCCTTCCCTTTCCTTTCCTCCCCTTTCCCATCATCCCGTTAGCCACCACCACCACCACAACAACGCGCATCAAATAATTGGTGCACGTGTCAAACATTTATACGCCCACCCCCCCCCCCCCCCCAACACACGCGCACATACACATACGAGTGGACAAGGTATGATAAGTTAACTCATCACGTGCAGCAACGGTTTATGGACGGCCACTGACAGACTTTGAGTTGTTCTTTTTTTTTTTTTTCTACCATTTCATTCATTCATTTCAGAAGCGAGTACCCGTCCGTCGGGAAGGTGGGTACTCGAGTTACAGTAGGGAGGGAGGGAGCTACAGTAGCTCTCGTAAAACCCGGGCGTCCGGCGATGAGAAAAGGTCGGGTGGCGGTGGTTGACTTGGCGCTGGGTTATGGTTCAACTGCCGTATCGCGCCGGTAATGGGGGTTTGCTATGAAATGTCGTGTCGAACAGCTATAATAACAGGCATGGAAGGGAATGAGGTCGCAGTAGATTCCGGACAAACTTCAAATCTCGAGACTCGCACAATAGCATCCTGGCCGTCTTTGCGCTAATCTCTACCGTACCCACACTGATGTATATTGCGCCGCACTCTTTTGCTACCAGTATGCTCTACTCTGACAACTCAACCAATAACCTCCCCCCCCCCCCTTCCATTCACCAGTCAACCCAATTACCCTATGCTACTTAAACACAACCCCGCAAAATTTTTGTGACAACACCAACACTAGCACTATCAAATAGATAAATATAATATAAAATTAAAGAGAAAAGAATCAGAAAACACCCTGTATAATAACATTCTGAACATAACATAGCATAAAATAAGATAAAAGTGATGAAAACATCCAATATATATAAACAAACATACCAATCCCATAACAACCTGACCCAGACCGATCCAATACCAACAGCCCGACAATAAATACTATGATAATACAAAATTTCACCAATATGCAATCTGGAAACGAGACAGCAAGCATGAGAGAAGAGGGAAAAAGCAAGAAAACATTTTATAACGATGATGACGATGATGGGTGAAAGGTAAGTAGGAAATTCGTTTATCATTCGTAGAATAAGGAAGAAAGGGATTATGAATATAAATAAGTATTTTAGAATGAGGAGAAATGAATAGGAAATTTGACACTCTGGTGGTGATTTTATGAAGTATGATGTAGTGGTGGGTAGAATGGGTATAATCATGATGGAGGGGATGAGGATAGATGGGGTGAGGATGGCAAGGATACGGCCAGCTAGGTACTTACCTGCTGCCCAACATGAAGCGACACGACCTTTTTTTTTTTTGCTCTGGTTCTCTCTGCCAGATGTAACGAGGTATCAAGGAAAGACAGGTGCCATGGCATGGTAATAAAAGAAATAAGAACGTAGAAATAAAACAGAAATGAAAGGGGGGTGCGTAGGCAGTGGGTATTGTCTTGGACAAAAGAAAGAATAGTAAAGGAACGTGATTATAGCATGACATTTCGACAGAAGAAACTTTGTTTTTATGGGGGGTCGTCGCTGTGTGTTGGGGGTATGCTTTTTCCTCCATCCATCCATCCATCCCTTCAGGCTCACGCTACCGACAAACTATCTCCCCACAAACTCGGCATAACTACTCTGTCTAGCGGCCGGGTGCTCCATTGGTGTTTTAAACTCCAAATTATCATAGGTTGGTGCACGAGAATGTTCCATCGGCGTAGCAAATACCTCGGCCTCGCTTGCGGGGCCCCAGGATTGCCTTGTCGTGGTCGATTGTTGGTCATCCTTACTTGGTGCCGTAATGGGAGCAGTAGCAGTTGTAGATGCTTGGGTGGTGTTAAGTACGGCGGCTTTGGGATCGACCGGTGGTGATCCAGAAGTTGTGATAACCTCATGGACAACAACCTTCTTGCCCAGTCCGTCCCTCCACATCTTCTTCTCTGCTTCGCTGCCCACGGAGCCTTCCTCCTCACTGTCTTCCACGTCACTAAGGTCCAGTCTTGTGACACCGTTCATCTCCTCATCTCCCCCACTCTCCTTGCGCTTCCTTCTAGGTGTGACTCCGCTGAAGTAGTCATCACCGTTTGTGCTCCCATTGTCGTCAAATTCCTGATATCTTCGGCGTAGGGATGTAGCGCTTGTCCGCAGAGGGCTGATGTGATTTATTGAGCCCCGTGGGTTTGCTACTCTGCCGGATAACCAAGATCCCTCCGAATCAATTGATGCAAGCGACGTAGACATCAATGATCGGGGTCTACCATCTGGACCAACAGCCTCCAGCGAGTGACGATGCATCGAAGGAGAGTACCTTTGTGTTGGTGATGGCCTTCCATAGTGATTCTGTGAATGTGTTGACGATGTTCGGATTGGTTGGATGGGGAGAGTGGGTGAATCACTTCCAAAATCAAGGGAACCGAGATAGCTTCGGGGATTGCTTGTAGGGGTACGATGTGCCAAACCGGTCAGGGAGCTCTTAGAACTGGATGGACGGCCATGTAATGAGTAAGGCAGCAGAGGTCGTCCGGGCGTAAATGAACCACGCTTTTCCGCCTCCATACTGTCTTTGCCTCTAACATGCCCGGTCTCCAAAGCAGTCATTGCAAACGCAACCTCATCCGGGATGTGCGTACCAGGTGTTTGCCCCCGATTTTGCCTGAAGTTATCCACCTCGTAAAACTCGCTACCCTGAACCAGGTCTCTTCCACGTGTGTCCTCGCCCTCAGAATCAGATATTAGAGTAGACTCCCCGGACCGAATACCTCGGCTGCCCTGCTTTTTCCGCATTCTGGCAGCGGGGGTTTTCTTGAGAAATGAAGTCCATCCCGATACCTTACCACGTCCTGTATCGATACCAGCATCCAGCCCATCCCGATCCATATCATCATCATTAACCGCAAACGCACCCTGGAAAGTTGATGGGTAATCATCTACATTGCGTATCCCCCCGGTATGTGAAGATTCGTGGGGCTGCGCCAGCGGGCCTGTTGATTTATAGGAATCGGTCTGTTCGGGTCCACGGTATTCTGGCTCACCGGTCATATCCTGGTTCGAATCCATAGACACCGGTGTGACCATGTCGACCCTTTGGGTAGAGTGGGCAGCCCTGTTAATTTTTTCTTGTGAAGGATTATGGAGCCATGAGAAAGGTGACTGGCCATCTCGCGGTCGGTCATCCGGATCGGGAAATGGGTAAGGTTCGGGTGTGATCATGAATCCAGCACGGCCAGCAGATCTGGAGCTCTCACCCGTCTGGTATTCTGGGGCTCCGTAGTTGGGGCCGCCGCTATACAAATTTCTCTGGAAATGGTCATCGTCCATCTCGAATCCCATTTCCCGATCCATCCGCTCCTGCTCTCTCTGCTTCGCGGCTCTTCTCTCCAACTTTCTCTGCAACTTCTCGTGTTCTTCCTTCTTCTTTCTCTCTCTCCTCCTTCTGTCACGATCCAGAGCTTCCTTTATCCCATGCACATCCAGCTCATCCGCCAGTCCGTCCACCTTTCCACCTCTGAGAAGCTCTTCATCCGTGATACCTGCTCGTGTGTGTCGCCCGTCACGGAGAGATCGCGAGTTAGAGCGACTAGGAGTCAATGGGTGAAGGCGTGCGGATTTTGTGGGCGACGTTCCAGTAGAATTCTCGTAATGCAGCTTCGGCCTAGGGGTGAATATGTTGCGGACCTTGTAGGCACGCATCGAGGATTGTGATGATAAGGAAGAATTGATCGAATCACGAGCAGGAAGAGAAGACCTAGACATTGGTCGGTCGTCCTCTAACTCATCGAAATTCCGGATACGCTTCTTGTCGCGCTTTGAAGCAGTCCTCGCCAATTGCGTGATGTAAGCGGATGGGGGTGGTTGCGGTTGCTGCGAACGATCGCGATTTCGCTTGCTAAGTTTGCGAACAATGCTCGTAGGTTTGTGGGGTCTGTGGGAAGATGCCGAAGATGCTGACATTGAGTTGTTTTGTTCGATAAAATATGATGAGAATCCTCCTTCATGGGGTTGTTTCTGAGGATTGAACGAGTTCTGTATAGGTATAGGTGATGATGATGAGTTATTCGGAGGCTGAGGGAATTCGGGCACACTGACCCTACTACCCGCGCGACGGGGTTTCTGACGGCTAGAATTTTTCCGTGCCAGGAACATCTTTCGCTCGACCAAGGGCGGGTCCGGTGCGGCTACCTTCTTGCCCTCGGCCACCTTCGTCTTTCGACGTTTCCTGAAGGGCCAAAGGGCCATCTTGTGAACTCTCCAGAATCTCCACCGCGACTTGCGGGTAGTAACACGCGAAATGGTTGGGGATTATGAAATGGAAGAGGGAGGGAAATCTTGTAAGTTTGGTGCGGTGTGTGGGTTGTTAAAGTAAGGGCAGCAACGGTGGTAGGGAGCAAGCAGTCCGAGTATGTACGTGGACTGTCTAACTGAGCGTTGGCCAGCGATGAGTGGGACTCGCAGGACGGTTGCGACGGCAGGTCATGGAAAAGACGAAGGGAGGGGAGCGATGATGGGTCCTGCTGCTTCCGCTGTTGCGGAGACCACGAGTCATAAGAATCCTGATCTAACGGGTGATGACTGGATAGTAGGGGAAAGGAGTGGGAGGGGAGAGGGAAGGGAGTGGGAGCAATGGAGGAACGGGCGGCGAGAGAGGGTGATGGGAATTGGAGGAGGGGAGGGGGGGGGGGGGCTGGCAACTATCAGACCGGGGGTGGTGGGGGGGGGAGGGGATGGCTGGATGATGGTGTGCTGAGGGACGGCTGGAACAGGGAATTCAGAGAACAGAAGAGGGAAGAGATTCAGGAAAAGAAAGGAAAAAGAGCGGGAGGGGAAAAAATTGCATCGTTCACGCCAACGTCCGCTCCAGGAACAGTTAAAATGGGATCGCACGATAATTGATAGTATGATTATTACGGAGATTACAATAGTGAGTACCATAGCGGTAGGGCAGAGCAGAGAAGACTCTGCAAACTAGAAGGCAGGAAAAGCAAGGAAAAGGAGGGGGAAGAAGCAATCAGTTCACAGCACCCGTACTCGAGTACTCGTACATAGAGTGCAGCACAGTATCGTGTCACACAAATAGCTGCCTGACATGCTGGAACTTGGGACCAGGAAAATGCCCGCGGTCCACCTGTCACACAAACGGACGGTGTAGGAGTGCTGTACGCGGGTATTCGAGGAACGGAGGGGAAAAGGAGGAAGGAACGGATTTTTGACGTGAGGAAGTGGGAGGCATGGTTCCTGAGGACGGCGGCTCCGTACGAGGGACTGTCCTCTTCTTCTTCTTCTTCTTCTTCTTCTTCATCTTCCTTCCCTTCTCCTTCACAGGGCCATGAAGAGAGAAGGAGTTGGAAAGGACGAACCGGGGGTTACTAAATTCGATCAACTACAAGGCAAGTAAGGGAGGACGACTGGAGGTGGCGGGGGATGAATGCTGGAACAGCAAAGGGGAGAGATATGTGCTCGAGCATGGTCCGGCACTGTAAAGCAGAATGCAGAGAGGGAGGGGAGGGGAAGGAGGTGGAGGGGCGAAAGGAAGGAAGGGAGAAGAGGGTTTGCTTGACCTTGTCGGTCGGTCTATGGTCCACCTGCTTCTGCCTCTACTACTTGCTGGCTCTGATGCTGTTACGATAATATTATATTCTGATCTCTGCGTGCTGCCTGTTCCTTCTCCTTTTCACCTTCTCCGCTCCTGCTCCCGCAGTCCTTTTTTTGGTGCGCTGGTTGGGCTGGTGTGATGTGTTTGTCGTTCTGTTGCTGGCGGGGTTTCGCCAAAATCTAACAACCATACCGCGTCGTTATTGCTTTTTTTTACATTTTTTTTTTTTTCACTTTCCTTTTTCCTCTTTGGCCCTCCTCCTCCTCCTCCTCTCTCTCCTCTCTCTCCTCTCTCTCCTCTTCCCTCGTCTTTCTTTTTCTTTGCAGGGGCTGGCATCTGGCTTGATTGGTTGACCTCATGCGCAGTCTTCGGCCCTTATTTTTAAACGGTCCCCTAAGATCATCCTCACTTGCCATCCCTGTACGGTAGTGGCTTTTCCCTCCCTGTCACTGCCGATATGATATCACGGGCAATGTGAGTTCAGCCCTCAATTGCCCAACCAAAAAATCCTGATTCTTCAGCGACCATATCGCTTTCTTCTTCTCTTCTCCCAGTTGTAAACACCGGATGCCGGTTCGCTAAACGAACGCCCATTCATGATGCCTCCTCCATCGTCATCATGCCGATCCGTCCACATCAATATTATACATCCCTCTAGCTGTCGTCAATGTGGCATGGGGTATTGGCCCTTCATCTGATACAAAACAAGTGGGGAACGTCGAATAAGCGTGGACTCGTGGGCTGCTCGTGGTTGTTTCATTGACTCGCCTACCCTACCGTACTCGAGTACCAGAAGCCGGGCAGGAACTGCTAGCCCCAATAATCCGGTCCAACGGGCCCCGCCCAACCGTAGTCTACGAGTGATGGCAGCTCAACGGCAGCCAGCCAGCCAGCACTATTTTAGGTTGCATTTTGCCCAAGCCTTTTTCTCTTCTTCTAAAATTCCCACAACCCAGTTGTGGGCAGGGCTACGAAGAGGGGGGCGTGGGGAGGTGGGTTGATTTGCTCCCTCCCCCTCTCCTCTCTGCATGATTCCTGAACCAGGAAAACATCGATGGTTCGTGTCTCCCAGCCAAGAATCGGCACTCGTTTCGCTTTTTTAGTGTGCCTGTACTAGTACTTGTACTGTACTCGTACCGTGGTTGCTATCCCAAAAGGTTTTCGATTCTTGGCGCGAAGCCACCGGTACAGTACGGCACTCAAGTGGCTCGTCTGATCGATATTCATGTTTTCACGTCCCTTTCACCCCCTTCTTCTCACTGAATCGTGACCCAGCCGGGTTGACGTTGGATGGATGGGTTTGGAGGGCTACCGCTACTCGTGTGTGAGCCTTAAGGGCACCAATAAGGCAAGTAGGGACGATATTCGTACATGTCGATCGATTGACATGCTCCTCGCGTGTCGACACTACTCGTAGATGGTTCTTAGTTAACATAGTGCTCGAGTGGAATGTGCAGGTCATCTCGGGCTTGTCGCATGATACAAAAATGTTCTCCTCTGACAACGAGTTAACTTTGCAATTTCACTATGGGGATGCAAGGCAGTGTACGGTTCTAAATTGGCGAGCAATAAATAGGTACAACATTACCGGCGTGGCACAGTAGGGGAAAGTAGCGATAGTTAGCACTGTCTCGTACGGCACCGGTACTTGTGGGTACTTGGTCTAATTACAGCAGGTGGGGAAGGCTTGACGCTTCGAGATTCTTCGTCTTCCCCGTTCGGCCCGGTGTTGTTTTCTGTGAGGCGGGGCTCAGTCAGAGAGGGCTTGTGTCGAACCTGCGAGTAATGACCTTGTAGGGCTCGGGACCTGACCGCACGCGCAGAGAGATATGAGGGGCAGTTGTGTGTTCTGTGGTCTTATGTACAAGTACAAGCACAAAGGTCTAGGCCGATTACTGTGAACCCATTACCGGTACCGTTCTGTTCTTGCAAAGTACGGCGCCGTACTTGTAGAAGTGATTCCTTTTCTATAATAGTGGAAAATATTTTGCCTGTCGTACTCGAGTACCCTGGTTAATCAACAGCGACCTGCAGCCAGGACTGAAGGCGTGCATGCCATCATACGGTACTATTGTTATCCACAGGCGCTTGTAGCTTGCCGGGCTTGGGTTATGGGTTGCTTGGCATGAATCCTGGACCCGGTCCTTGCCATGGAACCAGAACATCCACCCAACTGAGACTCAACAGGAAAGAACTCCCTCCCTCGCGCTACCCTCGCGTAACCGTTTGTACCTTTCTTTGGAGCACCTGAAATTGGATCAGATCGTAACCCCTCCTCCCGGCCAGTGAGATCAATTTCCCGTGACGAGAAGCTTGGAAGGATAACGATCCACTCTGCGAGTCAGCACACTTGAGTGCCGCCAACACCGAGCCCCAGCCTGGTCGAAAAATACCTTCTCCAAAAATCCCTCCCTTGTTGTCTGGTATTATACCCGCAGGCTTAACTAAAGTGGGGAAAGGAATACCGGTAGGCAGCCAAAAGGGAAAAAGAAAAAGGAAAAAAAAAAAAAAAAAAAAAAAGAGAGGAGAGAGGGAGAGAGAGAGGGCGGGAGTGAGAAAGGAACGACCCACCCAAAGAAGAAAAAAAAAGAGACCCCCGGAATAAAAAAAATACTGGTAAAAGAGGGTCTACCTTGATAACTTTTTCCTTTTATCACCAGTGACCGTGCCCCCAGCCCGGGCCGTCCACTTCCCCGCGTCGTCTCACAGTTGAAAGCTCTCCTCTGCGGCTTTTCAACAGACACACCCTCCCCCGCTTCCTCTTGTCGCACAGGTGTCAATCATCCGTCTGACATGGATGGGCTGCGGAGCATCTTTCCTGGACATCCAACTCTCTCGCTCGAAAGGGCCCTTAATGGCGCGGGCGGGGACTTGGAAAGAGCCATCGACATCGTTCTCCGTGGACAGCAAGAGCAGGAGTTCAGAGAGCTAGCACGGAGGCAACACCAAGAACGGCCGCAACAAGGAAAGCAACTGAATCAGAAACTACCGACCCCTCTACCAACTCAGAGGATACGGCAAGATTTAGACCGTCCCCTATTATCACCCTCCACCGCGTCGGCGAATTCCTTTGGCTCGCTGAGGATCTCCGACGGTGATGGTGGTGGTGATGATGATGATGATGATGATGATGACGACGATGGTGATGATGATGGTGATGATGATGCTGGCGATGGTGATGAAGAGTTTGTGTTTGGTGGTACTGATGGCATGGAGATTTCTGGAGATGAGCCCCTTAGGATGGAACGGGAGAGGAATGGCAACGGGAAGCAAGTGGAGCAAGTGGAGCAGGTGGGGGAAGAGTGGAAGAAACCAGTTGCTAGTCAAGAGGATGTCCTTCAGAATGTCTTGAGCATCTTTCCCGATGCATGCCTCACACATATAGCGAATCTCTATCGTGAATATTATTTACTACAAGGCAGCGATATCACCGAATTTATTGCGAACAAGCTAGCTGAGACAGATTACCCAAAGTCAGAACTCGTCCTGAAGGCCGGCATGAAGAGGAAGCGAGCGGAGGAAGACGAAAAGGGGGAAAAGGGCCCAGATTACGAGGCCAACGATAGACCTCCGGTTGTTGGGGAGCGCTGTCAACTTGTGTACGTTATGCCCCTACCCCGCCCCATGACGGGGGGCAGCTTGCGCCCTCACGTGACCGCTTCACCTTACTTAACTCGATGCTGTCTGCCTGGCTTAGGCCATCTGTTCTTTTCTTGCTAACCCTACGGGTTCTAGGAGATCTGTTTTGAAGCAGGAGTTTCCTCTGATGCCGGTACGGTTCATCGAGAAGGTTATGGCGCAGAACCGGAACTATCTAGCTAAATCCTACTCCGCCCTTGTTAAGGCAGATAAATCTTACAATCCACAAACGAACGCTCCCTATAAACAGCTCGTCCACCCGCGAAAAATGGAAGGCCGAAGCCATGAACTTAAGAAGGGCAAGGACTGGACAGAGATCAGTGCTGAGCTAGAATACGCCCGCGGTGAAGTGAGAAGAGAAGAAAGTAAGTGCAATTTTGGATGTGTGTTTGCTGTCCTTTTGTCTGTAGCTAATCGAGATAAACAGTGCAAGCCCAGATGGACGCCGACGCTATGCTAGCGGCTCAGATAAACGAAAAGGAGCATCAGGAGAGCAACATGCTGATGGAGTGCGGGTGTTGCTTTGGTGAATATCCATTCAACAGCATGACTCACTGTAATGACCTGCATTTCTTCTGTCTTGACTGTGCCAGACGTAATGCAGAAACAGAGGTGGGGAATGGCCGCCATAAACTATCTTGTATGGATGGGTCCGGTTGCAAGGCACTTTTCCCTCGGGGCCAAATGTTGCGTTTCCTTGATGATAAGACGTTATCAGCCCTAGCAAAGATAGAACAAGAGGATGCCCTGCGTATTGCTGAAATTGACGGGCTCGTCAAGTGCCCGTTTTGTGATTACGGAGCCATCTGTGCGCCACCCGAGGTGGATAAGGAGTTCAAGTGCCAGAACCCCGACTGTAAGAATCATAAGTTTATACTGCTTTCTCATAGGTGCGCGCTGACATAGGTTATAGGTATGGAAATTAGCTGCCGACTCTGCAGCCAGAAATCGCACATCCCTTTGACATGCCAGGAATATGCTAAAGACAATAAACTTAATGTTCGGCACAGAGTTGAAGAAGCCATGACAGAAGCGCTGGTAAGGAAGTGCAAGTAAGTTTTGGGAGCCCAGCATAATGGATTATTATTAATGAAATGCAGCAAATGTTCCTATCCGTATATCAAAGAATACGGATGCAACAAGATTCATTGCAACCGCTGTAATACACTTCAATGGTAAGTCAATGGACTTTCTTTTTGATGTAGGCGAGGCTAATCTTCCATGCAGCTACATCTGCTCCCAGACAATCAAGAACTACGACCATTTTAATGACCCGGCAAGAGGGGGGAAGATAGGCAATTGCCCGCTCTTTGACAACACCGAAGAGCGGCATCACGACGAAGTTGAAACTGCAGCAAAGAAGACCATGGAGATGCTTCGAGAAGAGCATCCGGAGCTTGACGATGAGGATCTGAAGGTAGAACTCTCAGAAAGGGTGCGGAAGGGAGAGGAGGCCAAACGCTCTCGTGCAGCAGCCGCGAATGGTGGCATCCCCGCGTACCAACCGCAAGCGGCTCGACAGCCGGCTGCGGCTCCTCCGGGTGTGAGAAGGCGAGCAGCTGGGCCACCTGCACCCGCACCACCGCCCGTGCCACCGGTTGGAGGACCAATCGTGGGGGTAGGACCTCGAGGCCGTATATTGCAGCGAGTACGGGATCGTATTCAGCAGGTCGTTCAGCCCCAAGCACCGCCCGCACAGCCTGCCCCTGTGATAATGGGCCACCAGCTGCCGTTGTTTCACCAAGTTGCTCAGAATATGTACCCAATCCCTATTCCACAATATGCTCCTTACCCTGCGCCGAACCAGTATCCGGGCGCGAAACCCGCTCAACAACCACCCATTGGTGGCCTCCCAGTTGCTCATGGTGCACCGGTTGTGAACGAACATATACCTCCACCTCCACCGCAACCGCCCCCACAGCCGTATCGCCGTGCAGTGTTATCTCGAAGAAATACCGTTGCTGCTGGTAGGCCCATAGGTGCTCAGGTCCAGGGGATGGGCATGGCCATGCAAGAGCAAAACCTGATGATGGCAATGGGGCGAGCGCAGGCACAGGCGCCGACCCCACCTGCAGGTCCACCATCTGGGATCTCAGCTCCTCGGAGGAGACGCTAAACTATTGGCGCAATACTCTATACGAGCTCTCATGTTAACCTGGTGATTCTGGTATCCCTCAATTGGGATATCTGATTCACTCTGGTACACGCACTCCCGTATACCTATCTATCGTCACAAAGAAGAAAACTACTCATCTTTCTCCTCTATCTCTTTCTCTTTGTCTCCCCTTCCTACATTACGGTAGCCTTGTTTGTTGCCACAGTTATTTATAGCTTTAGCATCACCTTTACTTTCTAGGCGTATTTCCCTCCACCACTTTTTTTCCCTCTCTTTTTCCCTTTAATTTCTCCATATGAATCTGGCGTCTGGATTGGTGAATTTTGTTGGCTCTACTTTGTTTCTTAACTCTTACACTCTATCGTTTGGTGAGTTTTTGCTTAGATACTTGCGGTGGGGGAGTGGAGCGATAGGTAGGGGAGGTACGCAGGGTTGATCGTTGTATATTACGTATACTTAGTATGGCACCAATGCCCCAGTGAGTGGGCGATGAGCTAAATGCCGTACGACGCCTCGCGCGAGACTTCCTTTAAATGGCTTTGTAGTATCTCGCAGGGATGCGTAGAATGTATTTACCGCATTGCACTGAGGGCACGTCGTTTCTTTAGCACCTATCGAGCTTACTTAGCTATTACTCTTATTACGGTAAGTACCGGTAATACCTCACTGTGTTGGCTCGAAACCCCCCTCCCTTCCTGTCCACTCTCCTAAGCCTCCTCCAAGGTAGCGGTTCGTTACCTGTGGATCACTAAGTCCTTGTCTTTTATTGGGAAAAATAAATCACCATCGCCGAGAGGCAGGTGTTGTATCCTGGCTGTGCAAATACTGTCGCACCCCGTATCCCGGATCTCGCTCTCCTGGATAACTCGTTCTCCCAGACGGATTCTTAGGATTTTGACCGTCCGGGATGATGGGGTGCGACTGCACGTACAGTACTCGATCAACCACCTATACTACCATATTTCGCCTCAACCGACCTGGCCCGGCCCACCACAAGCTGTCGATGGCATCACAATGCTGTGCTCGGGTGTGTCCATGAAAGTCAGAGAACTCAGCCCTCATCCCCCCCTATAGAGATTTGTGCCATCGTACGGGATCGGCAGAAATAGTTTTCAGATTTCTACTGACACAGCCAGGTACTGGTATTAGTATTGTACGATCCTAAAATAACAGGAGGGGGGAGAGCCCCAACTTGGGGTACTTGTACTTGTACTTGCGCGGTCGAGTTGAAGTTGGAAACGCATAAAGCGTAGTGATTACCAGGCCGATGAATGAATGGATGGATGGATGGATGTCCCTAAGAAGCCAAGATGAGTAGCGTAATTCCATATATTGTGGATAAAAAGTGGTGGCGTGTGGTGCCGGGCCGGCGCTTGCTGTGAGGACTTGGGAAACTCTTCCTTGGACTGTTACTGATCAAAAGTGTCTGGTATTTTGTGTGAAGTTTCAAAGGGTGACGCCTCATAATGGAGAGGATGATGTTGGGGGCCGGATATCGGACCAACTTACCTGGTTATGCGATGGCTTGCAAGTTCACGTACAGTACCGTACTCGGGTTCTGATACCGGTATCTTGAGTGCAGCGACAAAGCGCGCAGGGCCACATATTTTTTCTTTTTTGTACCATAATATGTGATTATTAATTATGTTTCGGGGCGTGAGCTCGTTATTGGTCTGGAGATCGCTGCCCTACCGGTACGGTATCCGGGTGTGTGACTTCAACTCGGCCGCACGAGTATGTGTATCATACGATATCACGTACTCGAGCACCGTACCGGTATTTCAATCCATAGCGAGCCATCCACCCGGGTACCCGAGTACATACTAGCCACTATTTTAAGTTGCGACTGGGGCTCAACGAATCACGTTGCCCAAACCTACAGAGGGCTTGCCATGGTGTGAAAATACGCTCCCTTCGTAGGTACCTACGTACCGGTGCTCGAGTATCGTACCAAGTTTCACTCACTTTTAGCGCCATGATGGGCACGGCTACTACCGGTACTCGTACACTGATGAGTTCAAACATCAGCCATCAAAGGAATGGACTCTCTCACAGAGGGGCAGTTGAAGATTGACCACCGTATATACCCTTCGGAGTTAAGGGGTGGCGGACCAAAACCATTGCGGGAAAACAGGTTAGGGGGTTGTAACAAGTGTGTCTCGTCTCGAACCCAAAAGCCACTGCATCCGACACTACTTCTGCAAGTAGAGTAGACCACCATGCCAAGTGTGCCGTTATGTGAATCTCCCGTCCATCCCGCCCAATCCGAAAGTCGATAAGGTGCCCTGTCAATCCCGACATCACGTGGATAATGGATACAATGCCTTAACTTTATCGCACACCCGGCCAACGCGAGAACAACAACGCGCTGTATCGAGTCACGTGGTATGTCAATTACGTTTCCGCTTAAGAATTAGCTCTCCCGTGATGTGCGGGGCCCTGCAAATGATGGGATGTGGGGTACGTACGCATGCGTATGTGGTCGTATGTCTTGCAGGATGGCCGGCCACCTCGTCTCTCAGCCTCTCCTTCTTTTCTGCTCCTTCCTTTCCTTCCCCCTTCCTCCTTCCTTTTTTTTGCTTTGCTTTGTGCCCCGCCGCATTGGGCTTCATTTTGTCCTTCACCCTTTGTCTGTCCTCGAACTCAGGTGAGGGGAATTCAATTGGGTTAGGAAAATTACACCCTCAGTTGTCGAATTGGGTATAGAACATTTTCGTCTCGCGCGGGGCGGATATTTTAGAAAAAGAAGAAACATTTCTAGGTACCGCCCTCCATTTGGCTTGGTCTCAATGGTCTTTTGCTCCACTGCAGCTTTGTTCTTCGAGGGAAAGTGCATGCTGACTATCCAAGAGAGCAAGGAAAATACCGGTACGTTTTGGCAATGCCTCCCCGCCGCACCCCGAAAGGGAAAAAGGCCAAGCCCGACCTCCCTCCCGGTCAAACCCTCCTTTCTTTCCAGCCAGCCCCAAAGCCCCCCCCTTCTAAGCCCCAGCCTACCCTTGAGGAAAAAGGCCTTCCCAGTATCCAATCCCCCCCCCCCTCCCCCTCCTTGTTCTCCCCTTAATACCAAATCCTAAAATTCCCTAACACCCCCATTCCGCACACAAAGACGTAACAGTAAGCCTCCAGCAAGTCAAGAGCTACTACAACACCCAAATCCTCCAACCGATGGGGTGTGCACCCGTCCACCAGCAACACCTCTGCACGCAAGAGAAGATCCTTAGGAACTTTGACATGCAGGTTAAGTACGGCCCCTGCATCGGCCCCACCCGCTGGCAGAGGTGGAAACGTGCGGAGGCGTTCGGGTTGAACCCACCCATCGAGGTGCTGGCTGTTATCCTCAGCGAGGAGGTGAGGGATGGGGCCGGCGCGGGCTCCGATTTGGGCAGGGATACCAGGAGAGCGTATTTGGAGAGCTTGTTGACCGTTTGGGGGTAAGTGTTGTCCAGGGAAGGGGGGCTAATGGTGCTGTATAAAATGGACGGGGGTTCAACGAACAGGGGAGTTCAGCGAATACACTAAAATCGTCTTGGCGAATGGTGGTTTTGTTTGGTCTGTTCGTTGACCCCCCGCCTATGTTACGGGTCCGTTGTGCTTGTTATCGCTCGGGTTGCTTTTATACCTTTTGCTTGTTTGCTTCGGGGATATGGATAAACGGCGTTGTGTGGAATGCATTGTGAAGGAAGCGGGGAGGAATTGGCGTTGGGCGGATATCAAGTGTGGCGTTTTCTATTTCATTTATAGGATTGGTGCTCTGTGTGCAGTTTTATTCTTTCTATTTCATTTCACGGATTGGGCGATAAGGCGGAGTTTCGGGCATCCGGCGTTTTCATAGATTAGCTTCTACCGCGAGGGCGCCAAGGTTTTTCTTGACTGTTTGGGGATGGTTAACGGAACTGCGTTTTGCTTCAATTTCATTTTTAGATTGTCAATATTTTCATTTTCTTCGCTCATCAGCTTGATCTCATGGCCCCCTTTTATGGAGGGGTTCAGCGGATTCTGCGGACATTTGCATTGATTTCCCAGGCTACACTTTCACTTGCTTCATACATTTGGCCCGATGGGTTTTCCTTTACGAAACTTTTTTCCCAAAGTCTTTTTCCGTTGACCTGTTCATAAGTCTGTATTTGAGCATGAATGGATGAAGCACATTTAAGTTACAAAAGAAACTCAAACCCAAAATTGCACAGACTTTAACTCTATTGAATTCAACACGTCTAAATGGAATCTGTGAAGCCTCAAACACCGCTGGAAACAAAAAATAAAGAGAAAAAAGAGAAAAAGAAAAAAAGTAGAAGAAACAAGCAAACAAACAACAACTCCCAAATTGTCTAATACCAAATACTCCTTGTCCGATGGGTGGGAATCATATCCTCCCCCTCCTCTTCCATAATCTTCGCAGTATCATACAAGTAAAAATCAATCAGGATAGCATTGATCTTGGAACCGGGATGGTTCTTTTCAATCTCTCTCCTTATTAATTCCACACACCAGATAGTCGTCCCCCGTAGTTGTAATTCCCAGGGGTGCCCGGAGGGAATGGGTTTGTGTGCTCGAATATGGCCCTCCAGTTTTGGGGCGTACATTATGCACCCCATGGAGTACAGGATAACGGGGACTCTGTAGTCTGCGAACATGGTCACGGAGGATATATCGTAGAAGGAACCGTATGAAGTTGAGTTGAAGCAGGCCCATATATCTATTGGTCCCCAGGTGATAATTAGATGTTGGGCGAGAGGTGAGATGGAGGGAGTGTTTAATTACCAGCGATGAGTATCTGTGCCCTCTTGTAAAAGTTCACATTCCGCCCTTCGAACTTGAATTCATCTCTGAAGCAAGGGAAGTCGTCTGCAACCCGCATTATCAATTCTGATGCAGAGTGCCCGGCTTCCTGAACGCAGTTGGCGAAGCTCCCGTCATACCTCTATCAAGTCAGCACTAGGGCGCGCGGGTGAGTGGAGGAGGGGTAGAAGGATAGGGAATGGCTACTTCACATAAGATCATTCCTGATTCCCGGAGGCAGGTTATCCGGTCCTGTAACAGGGGTATCTGCTCCTCGGAGTCCGAGCGGAAGACGTGTTCCAAGAGGGAATCGGGACAGATATCCGGGTCCGAAACGAAGAAGGGGCAGGTTATTGGAATTCCTATAGTATTTGATATCCCGCTAAGCTTAGGCGTTTGCTAATGTATCACAGGGCAGTACTAACCTTCGTCCAAAGCTCGATTCATCAAGGCTACCAAGCTCCAATACCCTGTATACTTCTTCCCATTGTACACTACAGAGAACCTCGTATCCTCGCTCTTCTCGCTCCAGAAACTGAAGTTCAGCACATCCATTGTGAATATGAAATTCAGGGTATTCTCGTCCTTCGCCTTTGGATGTAGCTCGTGCTCTGACCATGTCAGGGTTGAGTAAGACTTCTGCTGGATAGAATTATAGATTGACTCCGCGGCCTGAACTACGGAGTCCCGGTCCAATGCGATGTCAATTGAGTTGTCGAAGATGTACTGTGCACTCTCCAGAACGCCTGTTCCTCTTGGGCCTTTCTTAACCGTCGTGGTAAGGCCCATTGCCTCTCGCATGAAAGCAAGGAGATCATGGTCGACGTCGTCCATGGCGCCGCTTATTTCTTTCTTTTTTTCAGTGGAAATCTTTTTATAATGGAGGATTTTGTGCACCTGGAAGGAGAGGGAAATTCATGATTAGTAGGGGTTTTTTTTTTCTTTTCAAGACCTTTTAGGGTTGAATTTTTCTTTGATAGCTATCATACCTTGGTTGCTTCAATGTCCCCCTTTAACGATATGGTGTGTGTGTATGTTTCCAGCCTTCGTGCACCCTGAGTGGAAGTCTGGCACGAGGTAAGGCTCGTTCTGAGACAAGGTAATGAAAAAAGGAAAAAAGGGAAGAAGAAAAAAACGGCGTTTTGCTCTTCCGCATGCCAAGACTTCTTTCCTGTCGCCAGGTGAGAGGGGAGGAGAGGAAGGTCGAGAAGGTCTCGCAGCAGTGCCGGTCGAGAAGCTTGGATGCCGTATAATACCGCAATGGCACAGACCATCTTTAGGTAAGAAATCCTGGACAGAGCTAGCCTAAGCCTAACGGGGTCGAGGGAAACCTCTTGCCTCGCCTTGCGCTCATTCTCTCTCTAACTCTTCTCACGCTTACTCCCCTCACCCATAACAGTTACCACCGTCAGACTGCGAGCAAGGGCATCTGTACCGTGCTGTAGGTCAGCATCACCACAACTCCCTCCCCTTTGCAATTACAATCGCAAAGTTTCTTGTGCCCCTCCTACTTCTGCCTCTGCCACTACTATCATACTGCTGCCATTAGTCTTTCCCGGTTAGATCACCACTGCAGCTATTTTAACCCGCCGTACCGGAAGATCCTCCTCAATCATTCGTGATTGCTTCTCAGGCATTCGGGTCTTCTTCGCGCCTCGCGAATCATCCTTGCCCCATCTCCAGAGCCGCTTGATCCTGGTCACGTCGTTAGCAAATACCGACACCCTACCGCCGCCTTATCCTTATTTTCCTCCATCTCGTCTGCTCTCGCTCCCTCCTTTCCTCCCTTCCTCCATTTTACTGTTATATACTGGTATTCCCGACGCGGACATACTTTTCTTGCATCACCATCCCAGAAACCATGGGGCGCGCCACGAACGCACGCAAGTCGCTCGGAACTTTCCATAGGAAGATCAACGAGGTACGGGGGCGGGGAATGGAGCTCCTGACGATTTCCATTTTGGCTAGCGGATTGTTCTTTTTTACTGACTTTTACGGGCTCACAGTCGCGAGTTCTTATGGTTGGCGCCGGCGGGATCGGCTGTGAGCTTTTGAAGAATCTGGTGTTGACGGGATTCGGGGAGATCCACATTGTCGACATGGACACTATTGATCTGAGTAACCTCAATCGCCAGTTCCTGTTCGGGATGCAGCATATCAAGAAATCTAAGGCTATGGTATGGACCGTTTTTTCCTTCTCTTTCTCTCCCTTTTTAACTGGGATGGTTATGGGGCTTACGGAACGGGGGATTGTCACAGGTGGCGAAGGAGACTGCTGGAAAATTTAACCCCGATGTCAAGCTCGAGGCTCATCATGCCAATATTAAGGATCCCGAATTTAACGTCAAGTGGTTCGAGGGTTTCAATGTGGTATTCAATGCCCTGGACAACCTCGAAGCTCGGAGACACGTCAACAAGATGTGCCTGTCGGCGGATGTCCCTTTGATTGAGAGTGGCACTACCGGATTCGATGGGCAGGTTCAGGTTATCAAACAGGCGAGCTTGGGACCTCCCCGCAAGGGTTCGTGATGATGCTAACACTCGACAGGGAAAAACTGAATGCTACGACTGCACGCACAAAGCAACTCCCAAGAGCTTCCCGGTTTGTACCATTCGGAGCACACCTAGTCAGCCCGTTCATTGCATTGTTTGGGCCAAGAGTTATCTTCTCGTGTTAGCCCCCACTAAAATAACCATTTGTTTCAAATGCAGTTGGCTTACTTTGGCGGAATAGTGAAATTTTTGGAACCTCTGAAGAGAGCTCGCCTGACGTAGACCCAACTGAGGACTCCGAGAATTGTAGGTGTTTTCATTCTATTTTATTTTAGCCCCTGTCATTCACCCGGGGTGATCAGCTGACTTTGATCCTAGCCCGTGAAATTGCAAATCTAAAACGAGAGGCAGAAGAACTAAAGAATATCCGTGAAAAGATGGATTCTCCCGATTTCGCCGCTACCGTGTTTAATAAAGTTTTCAAAGATGACATCAACCGTCTCCGGTCAATGGACGAGATGTGGAAGTCCCGGAAACAGCCAGAGGCGCTTGACCATCAAATCGTCTCGGATGAAGCAAAGGATATTGGTGCCAAGGTCTCTAAGAATGATCAAAAGATTTGGTCACTGGCGGAAAATTACGTTATGTTTGAAGACAGTTTGCATCGTCTAGCTGAACGTGTTCTGGGTATGAAGAAGAATCAGGTTGAAGGTGAAGCTGCTCCGATCATAACATTTGATAAGGATGATGAGGATACGTTGGATTTTGTTGCGGCAAGTGCAAACCTGAGAAGCCTGGTCTTTGGAATCAATGCGAAGTCGAAGTTTGATATCAAACGTGAGTTTCCCCCCCTACACTATGTTGCTGGGGAATTACTAAATGGGAGCAGAAATGGCTGGAAACATTATTCCCGCCATTGCCACTACAAATGCCATCACAGCTGGTCTTTGTGTTCTACAGGCGTTCAAAGTTCTCCGTGGCGATCTTAGCTCGGCGCGAACCGTCTTCCTCTCTCGTTCAGCCGACCGAGCCTTCAGTACGGAAAAACCTAGTCCCCCTAATCCCACATGCGGAGTATGTAGCGTTGCCAGGACCACAATCGAGGCAGACATTGAACGAGCTACTCTTGGAAATCTTGTGGACAATGTATTGAGAGATGGCTTAGGATACGGGGAGGAAATTACCATCATGACTTCACAACTGTTGTACGATTGTGATTTTGATGATAATGTCGATAGAACTTTAAAGGAATTAGGATTTAGTGAAGAAACATTTGTCACCGTTGTGGACGATGAGGATGAGCCAAGAATCAACCTGGTAGTTTTGGTTACCAACAGGTAAGTCCATCTATTCTGTCCAGTGTGATAGTGACATCTACTAACTTCATCCCCTAGTCAACTCCCTGAAGGTTCTACTCCAATTACCATCCCCACTCACTTCGAAATTCCCAAAAAGCCATCAGCCAAGCCCGAAACTCCAAAGCCATTGTTACTGAACGGAAACGGTGCGAACGGAAGCGCAATCAAGCGCCCTATTGGGGAGGTTGTCGGCTCTGACGAGCTAGAATACCAACCCAACGGCCGCGATACCAAGAAGCCCAGGAGGGGCGCTGTCGTTGAAAACAGAGTCCCTTCTGCCAAGAAACTTGGTAAAATGCCAGCTACAGAGCTAGATGACATCGTTGTTATTGATGACGATGGAACCATCACTATTGACTGATCAATACATTTCAATGATCCTGCCTTCCCTCTCTGTTATTTTCTCTCTCTCCAGGACCTCTTACCTTTAGTTGTCGTTATTCCTTTTCCCATCTGCGAGTCCCTGGTTAATTGTTAGTTGGGGTGAAATGGATCAGTAGACTGTGTTCATCATTTTTCGCCAGATTTTTTCAATATTTTTCCTACTGCTTATAATATCCTCTTCTCTCACTTTTACATGTAGGGGGGTCAGCTGGGAGAGGTGGGGAGGCAGGATAGGTATGTGGATTGTACAGTATTTTACGGTCGGGATTCCGCAGTTACATTTACGGGATGGGTAGAGGTTATCTTTTTTTCTCCTTGTCGAGTGCTAGAGTAGCATGGGGATATGATATGGGATAACTGGGCTGTGCTGGGCTAGGCATCGCTAGTATAGGTAGAGCAAAGGTATCGTAGCAATAGCAAGGTAGCCATAACCTCATTATCATCAAAGCTCACTCGATACACTGTATGGTTTGTTCCGTCGACGAATGCCCGGGCGGAAGTTAGTTGTGGGCCAGGGTTTTATATCCCTGATCCAAGTGGTGGTGGTAGTGATGAAGGATGCGGAATTCGAGCTTCTGACATGCGTTCGGCTGGAGTTTGGGGTATGGTGGGAGCTTTGGGGGTGGAGGTATAATGTCCCTATGTCGGGTTGCTTGGATATCCAGAAGCTACCCCGTTCCAACGACAACCGACCAACATTGGATGGATACAATTGCGCCCGGCTACTGGTTACCGTAGCGGACAAGCGTTAACGGGTATCGATAGTCCGCCGACGGGGAGCGCGATAGCATAGTGAACAGCGAGCAGCCCTTCTAAGTTTGTGGTTTGCCTCTAGGTTATGATACATTATTTTTTTCGGTCCATTCTTCACAATCCCCTCCACCGTTGCCGCCGAGCCCGACCCGCATAAATTACCGGTATCCGCTTGTGGCGACACCTGTGGCACCACGCAACCAAGATTCGACGAAATCTTGGAAGAAGGGGTAAAAAAATAAAATAAAATAAAAATCTTGGTGTGCAAATTTTTTTCTTTCTTTTCCCAAATTGTTTGTCTGGACGTTGAGTATCATATTTGCCATGGAGGCACATTTCTTCCCCTTAGCCTTTCTATCATAGTTGGAGTTGTATGATACAGTATTGTACTCGTAGAGCCCCAACTCGCTCGAAGAGGGTTTTAGGGGTTGTGTGGGGGTGGGGTTGGTTGGTTGGTTGGTTGGTTGGTTGCGGGGTGTGTGCGGTGTGGCGATAATAATATCATGATACTGGTATGGTGATGGGGGGTTTCTTCTCTTTTTTCCCCAGAATTTAATAAGATACGGTGCTATGGGTTAACCAAGGTGCGGTATGATATCGTACCGTAGTCTTACAATGTCTTTCGCTCAAGGGTTGGGTATGGGAAAGGTAACGGGTGAGGTAACGTTACGGTACGGGCCGGCCCGCACCCGCACTGCATGGGGCTGGTGATCAGCGAAATGTTGGATAAGGCACTAAGAATACGGTTACGTTTTGCCATCTCGCGGCATTTCCAGTCCCTGTGGCGGCTGTGGTACTGATTCTGGAGCAATTTACATTGCATTTTTTTTTTTCGGCGGCTCGGACCTTTTACCGTATGTTTGGTAAAGTCGTGGATCATATCTCGGTGCTGCTAAAGGGTTGTGCAGATGAGAATGTTGGTTACTTTGTGTTGCTGGTACGGTGGAAAGTGCCTAAAGGTGGGACCTCCGGTGAAACGGGAATTCCGTTGCTACCGATCGGGATTCAACCAAGAATTGCCAAGACATGATTAGTAAGATGCAATGATATCGTACTATAATAATATCCAAAGAATCGCAACTCACCCTGGCTAGATTTGCAGTAGTTTTCAGTGCTTTGAATGGCCCAAGAGGATATCTGTAATATAAGTTGATACCTTTCAAATTGTAAAAAGATGTTTATGTCTACAGAGGCTGTCTAACAAGAAACTTAGACCAAAGGAACACGACGATGGCTTTTATATACAACATTGGTAAATTGATCAGTCCCATACCGTAGTCCATTATAGTAAGCATCCAGTATTCGAGTGCTCTTCCACCAATATTTGAGAAGCAAAAGTGGAGGTATTTCCTCTAAGGCCTTTGGAACAGTTTTAACCAATGAGGGCCAATTGTATTGACAATGCTTGCGAGTAAACCACTTGGCACTTCCCCACCTATATTCAATCCAATTGAGTTCACAATGGAACTTGGGAAAGAATAAACAAAGATGACCACGCTTCTCAATCTCTTCTTCTAAGCGTGACTTTTGCTCTAAAAAGTCAGGCTGGACAGAAAGCAACCGTCTTGCACAACAAGAATTACTGGAGTGACTTTTACTCTGCTTATCTTTCTTGCTCTTACAATCATGTCTCAATCCACCTCGTGGCCACAGACCACGTTCCTGCAATACTCGCTTGCATCCTTTGGGCTTACCCCTCCACTGTTCAGGAATAGAAAGATCGTCTGCATCAAAGCTCATTTGCTGAGTATGTAAGGTAACTCCATCTAGTTCGTAATACCATCCATTTCGCAAATGAGGTTGCTTCCCACCTGGATCCATATTCATATGAGATGCTCGAAGGGCGTCAGGAGCATCTGCAGTATGGGATGTTGCATGATCAAAAAGAAAGAGAGCTTGGGCATTGGGAAATGTCGCTTCAAATATTGGAATTGCAATGTTGAGAACATGGTCGACCAGATTATCCCCTTTCCACCAGGATCCATTGCCAACTTTAATGTATTCAGTAGCTTGTCGTGGATTGATGTGAAGGCCAGGAATTGGCTCCATATTTCGACTTGCGAGTATTGAAGGAAGCGGAATAGTAGATGGCATTTCAAGCC